CCCAACCAATCCATCACTATTATACATCCAGAGCCATGCATCTCTCCCAACATAAATAAAAATACCTGCTTTATACATTGTCTATCAAGGTGGATGATCACATTAGGACCCGGGGGATTTTGGGTTCCTTTCCTTGTTTTTTTTTTGGGAGGTCATATGGATGAGTCTACTGTAACCTGTGCGGACAGGTGTCTCCATATACACATTTCAGCCATAACCTTATGACCACCAGCCTAATATTGAGTCTAATCCCTCCAGGCATGGACTCCACTAGACCTCTGAAGGTATGCTGTGGTATCTGGACAACCCCCCCCTAATATTGAGTAGGTCCCTCTTTTCCTGACCCCCTCCAGGCATCGAGTCCACTAGACCTCTGAAGGTGTGCTGTGGTATCTGGCACCAAGCCGTCATTAGCAGATCCTTTAAGTCCTGTAAGTTGTGAGGTGATCGGCCTCCATGGATCGGACTTGTTCTTCCAGCATATTCCACAGATGATCTATTGGGTTGAGATCTGGTGAATTTGGAGGCCATGTCAACACCGCAAACTCGTTGTTGTATTCCTCAAACCATTCTGGAACCATTGTTGCAGTGTGGCAGGGAGCATTATCCTGCTGAGAGGGGCCACTGCCATCAGGGAATACCGTGTCCATGAAGGGGTGGACTTGGTCAGTGACAATGTTTAGGTCGGTGGTACGTGTCAGAGTCACATCCACATGAATGGCAGGACCCGAGGTTTCCCAGCAGAACATTGCCCAAAGCATCACACTGCCTCCGCCGGCTTGTCTTCTTCCCATAGTGCATCCTGGTGCCGTCTCTTCCCCAGCTAAGTGACACACACACACCCGGCCATCCACATGATTCATCAGACCAGGCCACCTTCTTCCATTGCTCCGTGCTCCAGTTATGATGTTCACATTCCCATTGTAAGCTCTTTTGACGGTGGGCACGGTTCAACATGTTCACCCTGATAAGTTCAGATTCTATCTGAACCAGCATTTCTATTGGAACCAGAATTAACTATTTCAGCAATTTGATCTACAGTAGTTCTTCTATTGGATCGGACTACACAGGCCTGCCTTTGTTCCCCATGTGCATCAATGAGCCTTGGCCACCCATGGCACTGCCCGGTTTTCCTTCCTGTACCACTTTTGGTTGGTCCTGACCACTGCAGACTGGGAAAATCCCACAAGAGTTGCAGTTTTGGAGTTGCTCTGACCCAGTCTTCTAGAATCACAATTTGGTCCTTGTCAAAGTCCCTCAAATCCCTACGCTGGCCATTTTTTTTTTGCTTCCAACAACTTGATTACTTGCTGCCTGATATATCCCACCCACTTCCAGGTGCCATTGTAACAAGATAATCAATTTTACCAGAGAGCCCCAGGTTTTCTGCATCCAGGGATTTATGTCCATATGTATAAGCGGCTGTAAGCAATTACCGGTCTATACCCACATAGTGATTCAGAGTCCATTTATCTTTCTTCAGAGGACTTTACCTCTCCCAAAGCCAGCAGCCTGCTATCCTGGGTACCGCATGGCTTTTCAAGCCCACCAATCTCAACGTAAAAAGAGGAAATTCAGTCACACACCAGTCATTTCTTCAAAACAATTTATTGTTTGACCCTATTAGGGGCTTAAAGACTAACTCCAACCAACATTATTTCAGGTATGGATAAAGTGGGTGCCCCCCAATAATGATTGAGTGCTGTGTTGTTCCCATTTAGGAGACTTCTCCTTATTTCCTATGGATCTGATGTCTCTCAAATAAAAAAAAAAATAGAAGAAATCTACCTAATGAGGACACGGACAGCATTCCGATCCCTACAGAAGTTGTATCAAGGGCTTCGAAGAACCTAGCATGCTCTACAATGCAACCTTCCTTCACCTAGGTAAGTTCATTTGGTCAGAACTTATGCAGGGCTTAGGGCCCAGTCACACCATAAAGCAGGGGTGTCAAACTCAATGTAATTGTTGGCCGCATCAACATTATGGTTGCCCTCAAAGGTATCTGTAAGACTATATAAATGTATCTAATCTTTATCATAATTGCCTCTGCGTTCCATTATCACTGGTTTTAGTAATAACTGAATACCGAGATCTGAAAGTAGAAGTCTAGGAAATGGCCTGGTGGGCCGGATTCGGCCCCTGGGCCTTGAGTTTGACACATGTGCCATAAAGAGTGCGTTCCAGAGCGCTCAGCAAACATAACGCACTGGAACGCAACCCGGCTGGCTCAATTTGTTTTGGGGCGGGAGGCGGTGTGGTGGTGCATTAAAGTCAATGGCACCGCAGTCGCGCCCCTCGCCTACAGGGCAATGGCTGGTGCCCGAATGTGTGGCACATTAGTGCCTGTGTTCCAGTCCAGTGCGATCTGCAAAAAGTTGTGCATGCAGCATTTTTTTGCAGATCGGCCAGGAACGCAGGCACTAATGTGCCACGCGTCCGGGCGCCCGCGATTGCACTGCGGGTGAGGGGCGTGGCTGCGGTGCCATTGACTTCTATGCACCACCACGCTCCCTGCTGCCCCAAAACAAAGTGAGCCGGCCGGGTTGCGTTACAGTGCGTTCCAGAGGCCAAACGCTCTGCAACGCACTCTTTATGGTGTGACTGGGCCCTTAGGGCTCTCAACCCACTCCCATGTGACAATGCTCAGACCTGGCAGTCAGCCATTCAGGCACACAGCACTGCATCGTGGAATGAAGGGAAGTGAGGAACAGGCTTCCTATACCTGGTGGGGCAATTTCACATTGCTGGAGAGGGTGAACAGAGTGGCAGGAGACTAAGCAGAACCTGTTGGTTTGCCCTGCATAGGTACAAGTTGACTATTATGAGCTGGGATCACAATCAGAGGCAGCAGCTGATGGTATGGGAGGGAAGTAGATGCATTATAAAAAATTAAATGGGCATCAGCTGGTGGTATAAAGTAAGAAAGGAAGAGCAATAAAGAGTAGTTGGTAGTCTGCCAAGACTGATACACAAGTAGCTCCAAATGAGATGAATAGCGTAGCAGCAACGAGTGAGATATTGATATTGGCGAAACAATCCGGCAAACAGGAAGTTCAGAGACATGGAGTAAATGGAAAGTCCAAGGGGAACTAGAGAGTTCAGTAGAAAACCAGGCACCAGGAAGGCTGACACAGAGATCATGCAAGGGAATATGCCGGATTTCAGTGTGGCTCAGTGAGATGACCCTCTGCCTAACAACGAGGAGCTTCTGTATTTGGATCTAGAGGTTTATTTAAAAAAGCCAGTGCTCAAAGAAAATGGAAAGACAATAACTTAACTTCTCCATTGCAATTATTTCTTCACCTTGAGGACCCTCCTCTTAGTTGGAATGTCCTTCTACATACCATTTGGTACTTTCCAAACCTCAACACCTTCAACCCTATGATTAACCCTGTTGCTGTCACAGCCATAACTGTTACGTCAGTGACAACACCGCCATAAATACAAACTTCCAGCTGCTCTAGCAACCAGGAATTAACCACTTGCCGTTTTTTTTACTACGGCCGGCCCGGAGGTGGTTAATTTACCTTTTTAGTCCTTTTAGGCTGTTTTGTAGACATGATTCAGGCAGCTTTACAACTGCATGATCACTTCTACATGTACTGTAAGGTGCCCTCTATTGTCCTTCCCCTGCTACATGTGTCCCAGGCTCACCTGTCCCTCCAGGGTGTCCAGGACCATTATGATGGGTGTCAGGAGGTAAAGTGGTGAAACATCAGAGAACATTTTGTCAAAAACTGTGATTGTGCCACATATATTAGGTATCACCACGTATGCTGGAGTGAGAGTAAAAATTCCTACCAGGACCATCACTGTTAACTCCTAATTAATGAGCTGGAAAGGCTTTTAAAGTGCTCTATTGGCAATTTTGGGTAACATAGTTTTGCATTGTTTCACAAGCATGCACAATTTTGAGAATTACTTATTTGATATCAGTTTATTATATACAACATCTTTTTTTGGCCCCACACTATCATGTTTGTGTGCACTAAATTTAATTTGAGTGCATTGTAGCGCTCCCCTGACCCCCAGAGGCCTGGCGTGGACCCCCAAAGGGCAGAGAGGGCCGACATTTGACTCTCAGAGGGCAGATCCGTAGCCAGTGAAGAGATGTGTGTTGTAGAAGTTGGACGCCAGTCACTTTAAGTGGCTTTTTAAATGCTTTATTGTAGAACATCAACTAGGAGAGATGGGATAAGGCTTAGGACATCCATGGCAGAAATAGAACAGACTCCAGATTCACCAATACCTTTCAGTCTTCCACGGTGCAGAATAAACAGGAGCACAGGCTGACACTGGGCAATAGAGCAAAATCTGAACAGGGATGGACATGAGATCTTCCATAGGAGAGACACCAGACTTACTTCTGAGTTCCATACCAGTAACAGGCACCTCCAGCAGCCTTCCAGCTTCTCTGGTTCTCTTACTAAATCAGTTCCGGACCCCTCCAGGGTTCATAAGCCCTCATGTCTTCTCACGCTGGGGGAGAACTTCCCTTTGCAGCTGAGTGCCTCTTCCTGTAGTGCTGGCTCAGATTGTGAACCTATACACAGACACCATGTATCCATTTCAGAGACAAGGCAGTCTGCTGCAAAACAGAAGTTCTGCCCAGCATGAGAAGACATGAGGATTTAAAAGGAAGAGCAGCAAAGAGAAGGGAGACAACCATGGATTACAGTAAGGCGCACATTACAGTATTGTTTTATGTTAAAAAATCTGAGGGTTTAATGTCACTTTAACTCCCGCGGTCAGCTAGTTGGTTCAAAATTGTTAATTTTGGCTTTGGTAAAAAAATAATAAAATGGCTGCTGTGGCCACTAAAAATCCAAGACCAGTGTCATGTCATACTTTAACAAAGGGGTTAATATCTGAGTTTGAGCTGTCTGGGTATTGGACCCCTAGGAGCCATATACTGTACAATGCCCTTATCAAAGTGTCATCAAAAACATTTTGTGTATTTGTACGATCTGCCTTGCTTACACTTGTTATTGATAAAGTTATATAGCTATTCTGTCTTGCTGTTTTAGGAAGCTTTTAAATTTCTTCTTCACGTCAGTGTTATTGAGACTGTATATGACGGGGTTTAGCATTGGACAAATAACATTATAAAAGATAGAGATGTATTTCCCTTGGCTTGTTGAGTACTGTGATGAGGCTCCAAAGTTCATGACCATTGCCGCCCCGTAGAATAAAACCACCACGGTAATGTGAGAGGAACACGTGGCAAAAGCCTTGAATCTCTGTCCCGTGTGAATCTTTAGGACAGAATGTATGATGCTAATATAAGTCCCTATAATAAACAGAAATGGGAGAAGGAGAGCGCTGAAACATACAATCATGACTAGAAGTTCACTTGAATAGACATGTTGGCAAGTCAACTTCATGACGGCTAAAAGCTCGCACATAAAGTGGTTGATCTCATTTGGATTGCACAAGGCCATGGGTGTGGCAAGTGAAGGAAAAACAAACACTATAAAACTTGTCACCCACAGGAAGATGGCCAGCCGGTGGCAAATACTCCATCTCATGATAACGTAATAGTGGAGGGGCCGGCAAATGGCAACAAAGCGGTCGTAAGCCATAATAGCGAGGGGGAGACACTCCGTACCGCCCATGAGGAGAGCCACGTAGACCTGAAACGCACAAGCGCTGAGTGGGATCGCTCTCCGGACACTGAACAGGTCAGAGAGCAAACGCGGCACAACTGAGGATGAGTTACATAAGTCCACAAAGGACAGAATGCAAAGGAAAAAGTACATCGGGGTGTGCAGGTCATAGCTGATTATGACCAGGCTTATTATAAGAACATTTCCCACAACAGTTATCACGTAGATCACCGAAAATAGAAAGAAAAGCACAATATTAATTTTAAGATTGGTAGAAAACCCCAAGAGTATGATCTCGGTGATAAATGTCCGGTTCATGGGGTCCATGATGGAATTCTGCAAAATATTATAAAGGAAATAGACTGAAAAATGTGTTCAAAAGCCTTGACAATGAATTTGTGTTGATGTCAAATATTCAATTTAATTTTAAATGTGACCAGTGTAAGTAATTGAGTTTGATCTGGTATCATCCTCTTGTAGTCTACTGTGCGCTGTATACAGGAGAGCTCAGAGAGTGGAAGAGAGAAGCAGCACAAGAAATGAATGTAGTCATGTAATGTGGAAAAACTAAGTACACCCTTGGCCTCGGGAGCTGGTATTACACCTTTAATAGAGATAGATTCTTGCAGGCGCTTTGCACAACTGCCCTGTCTCTGACGTGAAAGTTTTGACCACCCCTCTATGTAAAATTCCTTCAGTTGCAAGATGTTTTTGTTGGTTTCTTACATAAATTGCCTGTTTCCCGCATCAGCAGTATGGTTACCCTCAAAGGGCCGGTTGTATAGGACTATGCATCTACTCTTTATTATCATAAATAGTTGCCTCTGCATTCAGTTGCTACTGGTGATAGCGGCCACACCCCCAGTAACCACACCCATTTATCACCCATATTTTTGCTAAAATATAAGAGTCGGGGTCAAGTTGGGTAAATAGACACCAAACATGTCATGCTTTAAAATTGCGCGCACCCGCAAAATCGCAAAAAAAGGCCATAGGTGACGCTTCAAAAGCTTTTACCACTCATCAGTTTGGTGTTATCAGTGATTGATGGCCCTACAATTATTGCTCTCATTCCGACGTTCGCGGCGATATGTAACATGTGCGGCGTAATGGGCGAAATCGTCGTTTTCACACGTATGCGCACCCGACGCCTGTTTGCATGCGTGTATGTATGGGGGGGACTTTAAAAAAAAAATGTAATTCTTTTTTATTTGTAACTTTACATTTTTGGGGGGGAAACTTTATTGCTATCACATAGGGGGGTTAGAAAACCCCCTTATGTGATAGCAAAATATGTGACAGGTCCTCTTTATGGAGACATCAGGGGTCTCCAAGACCCCTAATGTCACCTAGGGACCCCCCTGAAGAAGCTGATGAAGCAAAGATCTGCTTGTCAGCTTCTCTCCAGCATCTGAAGCTGGAGAGTGACACAAGAATGCGGAAGTGATGTAATATACACCACTTCCGCATTCTGACAGCGGAGAGGGGACCGGAGGGAGCTCGTGTACCGAGCTCCCTCTGATCCCCTGTGACAGAGGCCATATGCTGGTCCCGGGCTCGCACTGGGCACAGCAGAGCCCGGGACCAGCTTGACAGCGGGAGGGGGGGAGCCGGGGAGGGCGCAATTCACGGGACCTCATACAAGCGATCCGCCGGCTCTATAGCCGGCGGATCGCTTGTATGTTAACAGGCATCGCTGCCTGTTTTCAAATAACGGGCATTTCCCGCTCGCGAGCGCCCAGCGGTGCGCGCGAGGGGGCGTGGCTGAGCGGGCGTCTAAAGACGCCCGCTCAGATCTAGAGAGCTCCTGGCCGGCCGTTTTTTTACAACAGCCGGCCGGGAAGTGGTTAAAATCATTTTATTTATTTATTTATTTATTTATTTTTTACTGTTGGGGGGGATTTGGGAAATATTTGGGGTCCAAACAGACCGCTGACATTTCCCTTTTAAAATAGAAAAGAAATTGAGGACACCAAATCCTCAATTTCTTTTTTAGCAGCCTCAGCACTCAATGAATGGGAAGCACTCAGTACAGAGGCTCCTCCCATTCATACTTACTATCAATAGTTTCTGAATGGGGAGAAGCCTCTGTACTGAGTGCTTCTCCCCATTGGTGAAATCTTGAATGAACAGGCAGTGATGTAAATCACAGCCTGTTCATTCATAACTGGGGACATAACTGGGGACACATAGCACTATGTGTCCCCAGTTATTTACAAACACTGGAGTGATCGAGCCGACATGCGACAATGAGACTGTCACAGGCCGGCTCAGTAGATCGGGAGGTGAGCCAACACATACCGGCGCTCGCTCACTTCTCGATCATCTCCCTGCAGAGAGCGGTGACTGTCAGTCATGGCTCCCTGCAGGGATTCCCCCCCCCCCCCCCTCCCTGCTCTGATCCTCCAGCCCTGACTGGAGGAACGGACAAGGGGAGGGGTCGGGAACAGCTGGCTCAGCCTCTAGATAGGCAGAGCCAGCTGTCACTCACGCAGCTGGGTGGATCTCGACAGTAATGTTGGGGTCTGTCCCGGCTGCGGCAGTCTCAGTATACTGCTGTAGCTCGCGATACACTGAGCTTTGGGTCACTGGAGGACGCTAGTCTATGCTTCACAGTTGGTTTGAGGTTCTTCTCCTAAAATTATGTCAGTTTGTAGCAAACATGTCTACCATTACTATGGTCAAGCAACTTCATCCTGTATCATGTAACATTGGCACAATCTTTTTTTTTGAGTGAACACGCATGCATTTTGACATCAACTGTTGCAAGATTTAACATGCAATTAAATTTTGGGGTCTTTGGAGACTTCTTTTATCATCAGATGGTCAACTCGTGGGCTGAATTTTCTGGGCCGGCCAGTCCTGTAGAAGTAAGTAGTTGTTTGGAATCTACACTAGTAGATTTGAAACAATTTGGTGATCTTTTTGTCCTCATCAACCCCCCTGGTGAAGCACTTCCCCATGTTAAGAACATGTGGCCTGGTATGGTGCAGGATGGGGGGTGGGGGCTCACGATTGCCCCCCCCCCCTTCCTTGTCAGGCTCATAGGCATCAACAGCTTTCTTCCTGAGGGCCTTGGAAAGGTCTCTTCATCTTGGTATAATGACACCACTCATTAATGGGAAAGAGAACAGCAGACCCGAGATATCTGAGGTATAAAAAATACTTGAATACAGTGGTACCTCGGTTCACGAACCTAATTCATTCCACTATTCTGGTCGCGAACCGAATTGGTCGCGAACCCGAATCAAACTGTGATCAGACCGTGATCGCGACTAGAGGAAGCCATGACCACGTGTCAGAGCAGGGAAAATGACTGCGGTCGTGTTTGTCACCCGATGCGGAGTTCGCAAACGGAATCAATATTTTGCCGAACTTCCTGTTCGCGAACCGAATTGTTCGTGAACAGAAGCGTTCATGAACCGAGGTGCCACTGTATTCTCTGATGAGGTCTAATCATGAGGACCTAATCGGGAACATCTGATTTTAATTCTATGGATTTAAAGCAGTGGTTAATAAAGGGGTGTTGTCAGGAAGCCAGGCTTGGCCCTTGTGCTCGGAATCCTGCCCGGGCACCTGTGCATGCGCAAGTGCGTGGGCATAGTTTGGCTCACAAAATTGTGCACCGCCGAGCGCCTCTGCACAGGTGGGTGCACGTTGGCGTGCGCGTCTCATGGCATGTGCGCATGTGCCTGTTGCGGGTTTTTCACGCTGAATGGGCTATTTAAGGCTGTGACATTCTAACCTCCAGTGCTGATTGGCTTTCGGCTGCTCCCTGTACCTGTAACCTGAACCCAGCATCCTTACTCTGCTCTTCTGGTATTGATCCGGCTTGGCAACCTATTCTGCTGCTCTTCTGGATCCCCTCGACCTTGGCTTGTTTCTGACCACACTCCTGCCTCCTCCTCTATACTTCGTTGCCTGCAAGTTGCTGATCCTGTCAGTCCCTGACTATGCCTTGTCTACTGTCCTGGTACCTCGCTGCTTGACTGTTACAGATCCGGCTTGTCTTGGATGTCGCTGCTACCGGCACTCGTGCCTCTCCTGTCCTTGTGCACCTGTTCCACTTCCAGGGGTTCTTGGACTTGAGCTGCAAGAGAGGCCTTCCTCGTCAACTCAGACTCCTCTAAGGTACGTGGTTCTGACAGGTGTACTTACTTTTTCCACATGATAACTCTACAGTTCTGTTAATCAAGAATTAATACAACATATCCATTTTTATCTCTCATTTGTTCAAGTGAATTACCTTTATCTGTAGGCTGTGTTTCAATGGAGATCTAATGTGTTCAAAGATGTTGAATAAGACTCATCTCGTCAGGGAAGCCTATCCCACCTCAACCTAAACGCTCAGCCATCACGTTCTCAAACAATTCATCCCCACACAGCTCCCTCCTCATGTATCACTTCCCCCTCCCTTTTAGATTGTAAGCCCTCAGGGGAAGGGCCCTCCTTACCATCTTGTCTTGAATTGTATTGTGATTGTAATGTCTTCCTTATATTATAAAGCGCTGAGCAAACTGTTGGCGCTATATAAATCCTCTATAATAATAATAAATCAACAATTTCCATGGGGTGCACTTACTTTTTACACATGTGAAGTGTATAATATTATAATCAAAGTGTGAAAGCAGATAAAATATCTGCATGTGGAACTAATAGCTATAAAAATATTGACCACTTACTTGTATCTTTTAAAGAGGGCGCACATCTTATCATAGTAGGGAACAAATTACAATCCCATCCAATCAGAATACGAATGTCTGGCTGGTTTCACTTTACAACAGCATTGCTACCACACAACATACAACAAATGTCATAGGCTTGTGCAGTGTGACATTTGTTACAGGTTCCAAAGAATTTATAGATTGCATCTATACTCCGGAGAACAATCTGCGTTAATGGCTGCAACAGCAATGCAGAGATTTGTATGAAACATAAATTGTGACTCTAAAAATGAAAAACCAATTATTTCTATTCTTATTCTGACTAAACCCCAGGCTGGGGGCTATAAGCCCTTTGGAGCCAAATATTTATTTATTGTGCCAATAACTCTTTCTTTTTCCAATGCTAGTATTGTATACAGTATATAAATCCACATATATACACTATATTGCCAAAAGTATTGGGACACCCCTCCAAATCATTGGATTCAGGTGTTCCCATCACCTCCATGGCCACAGGTGTATAAAGTCACGCACCTCGGCATGCAGCCGCTTCTACAGACATTTGTGAAAGAATGGGCCGCCCTCAGGAGCTCAGTGACTACAAGCGTGGTGCCGTGATAGGTTGTCACCTGTGCAATAAGTCCATCCGTGATATTTCCTTGCTACTAATCTCCTCCCCCAACATCAGTACCTGACCTCACAAATGGTCCAACATTCCCATAGACACACTCCTAAACCTTGTGGACGCCTTCCCAGAAGAGGCGGAGCTGTTATAGCGGCAAAGGGCGGAGCCAACCCAATAATGAACCCTACGGACTAAGACTAGGGGGCCATTAAACTTCATGTGCGTGTAAAGGCGTCCCAATACTTTTGGCAATATAGTGTACATATACTCACACTATAAATATATGGACTTAACTATGGGAATCTATAGTGGTAATATACGAGTTGTCTTATATACTGTATATTACCTATATTATTGCTGAATTGAGCTTAATGGTATATTTAAAGCTGGTTTAGGGGTGACACCAAAGGAACAGGTGTCCAGAGATATACAATCCTTGCCAGCAGTAAGATTGTTATTGATGAGGTATTTAATACTACAGATTATTATATACTATGCTTTTTTTCCAAGATTTTTTACTATTATTTATGATATACCGTATATACTCGAGTATAAGCCGTCCCGAATATAAGCCGAGGTACCTAATTTTACCAAACAAAAATGGGAAAAAGTATTGACCCGAATATAAGCCGAGGGT